TTTGGATCCGCTGTCTGTATGATAGCATTGTGAAACCTCTTATTCACGTCTTTAAATATATTGAACTCGACATGCGCATAGTCAATTATCAATGTCCTATCGATTTTGCTTATGTGTTCGTACGCACTTTTAATAAACATTTTGTCAATTTCATGGTAATTTGACTCCTTAGGAAAGTCGTCGCGATTCAAATACGATAAGATGTTCGAATATATTTCCTGCACTTTTCTGGTTGTACATATCATGTAACCTGAGTCGGTGGCGGTACAGTTTTTTTTTACGAAATTAAGCATCCTGTAACAAAGCGTGCAATGAAATTTGTTTAAATAGAAATATTCAATGTTTTTAGGGATGTGGCTTATGTACAAATAATCCAAAATTCGAGGTATATATGAGCACACGATGTCTAAATACTCGGTTTTAAATTTTACTATATGATTATCGTTTTTGTTTTGTTTCAACACGAATCTGATTATGTTTTTGTGGGTGAACTTCGATGTGTAGAAACTGTACAGCAGTTGCAATATACGGTTTAAAATGTTTTGAAACCGTTCTAACACGTCCATCGGTCCCATCAAGATATTAATCATGATGCTATTGATATGACTGTTATTTTCTACATCATTAGTTGATCTTCTCGTATGTTCGTAATGCATATTTATGGCGATTTCTAGATCTACCTCAGGTTGAGATTTAATGCGGTGCGGAGGCGATAATTTCAGGCCGAATAACGCTGTTTCCGGTCGACTTAATGTCATCATTCTCATATTATTCGCATTATCCGCCATCATGCGTTTTATTGCTGGCATCGAGGTCAATCGCGGCACTCGCTGATTGTCTAAGCACGCAGATTCCCGAATGAAAATTATTAATATTTGTATCAAAACTACGATAGTAATACGCGTGCGATAAAATATCATCTCGACAGTTGTAAATACTTTGATTACCGTTAAAGACGAAATATTTCACGTAAGTAAAATATCGTCCGCATACAATGATATTAGTAGCCTTAAATGGCAACTGCGTGTTGGTCTATTTATTGATTTTTTTTTTTTTGATTCGGAGACGCATTCGGAACAACTGATTAAATAAAATGAATCATTTCAACGACAATACCATGCGTACTATAATATTATACAGGGTATACACCGTGGAATTCTACGGAAATAGTCACTAGATTGTAGATTCTCTGAGCAGCAGTAAATAATGTATTTTCTGCGTGATTTTCTTCATTTAAACGTCTTTTGACCAGAAATCCTCGCAGTTTTATTTTGTATGAGAATTTCGTTTAGTTATGCAAATGTTTTTGTTTATTTTTTTTTTTTTTTGTCGGTAGTCTGTGTGTTTTAACGATATTTGGGGAAAAAAATCTGTAAGGAAATGGGAGTATTTATCTATTCATTATTTTCGATGTTTGTTGTGCAGATTCGGTGCGAAATAATCGTACACTTTTCTATTTCGTATTAACTTTTTGTAGGCGTGGTAAAATTGTCTAAACTTTCTTGAAATTGTTGTGCATTATATATGCAACCTACACTTTTGAGTTTTGATTTAGTTTTTATTTTGATAAATTGTGGATAAAATTTTTCGACCGAACAGAAAATATTACAAATTTAACACGTCTGGTATAAGTAGTACCCTGTGATTCATTTAAATGGGTCCACACTTCCGAGAGTATTTACTTTTTCTGGAATTTGTTTTCTAGAAAATTTAAGAAACAAGCTGCATAAAAATTATATATTTGTATTTTTTTTTCACCCTTATTTTTGGGGATAAATCGACTACCAACATTTGATTTTCAAATGGCAACCTATATTAAATAGTCTATAAATGAACTGAGTATAGGTTAAAATAAATTTTAGTGTTGAAATTTTGTATTTTCCGTCGTTCCTTTGACGAGATATTCCACTTTTAAGTTTGGGTTGGAAGCGAGTATTGGAATATTATTATTGTGACGGTACGGCACGCAAAGTGTTAACAATGTACTAGAAAAAAACTAAAAATTACGCGTTATGTTGTTTTTTTTTTTATTTTTATAAAGTTTTAAATGCAAATTTTGTCGAAAGTCTTAAAAACAACTAATTTTCAAACACGTTTATCTAAATTCGCTCAAAATCGGCTCTGGCCACTTAACGTTACGTACAGTTATAAATTACGATTTTATGATATTCTTCCTTCTCAATTTCATGCCCGAATATTCATTGCGTTTGCAATAATTAGATTAGTAGGCCAACTGTTGTCGTTTAATACGTTATGGAAATAAATTATTAGAATACACAACGCATCATCGTGATCAACTATACAAGGTGATTTTTGTTTTCATTAACCAACAATGTTCTTTGAAGATTTTAAACTAATTTTATTTGATTTATGTTTATATTTTTGTTTTGATCGTTATGAAACCATTTTTAAAACTATTTAAATTTTCTATTTCCACTCCGCACATCCTAAATAAGTATATACTTTTGTTTTTCAAATGGTCGCCTGCTTTTCGTACACGGATTCGAATAAAGCATAGTTTTCTAGACATTTGTGTACGCATTATAACACTAATATCAGATTAACCGTTTTAAGTTTAAAATGGGGCTGTAGGTATTGGGGAACGGTAATGAATTTCATATCTTTTTTTTTAAATATAATGAAGGAGTAAACAAATTAAGAATAATTTTCAAATAAAACTAACAGATTTAAGAATGTTAAAAAAAAAAAAAAAAATGAAAATCTAATTCACCTACTTCGAAAAAATTGGTGGTTTGTGATAAATAAAAAACAATCTGCCTGTATATAATTGTTACCCATATTACCGTAATATCAATTTTTCCAAAAATTTCCACCATTTACCTGCCTTGAACAAAATAATTATTACATTCGTTTTTGACGTACGACCAGCAAGAAAACCACTATAGGTATGTTGTAATACAAAGAGATCAACATAACTACGCGGTACACTTTGCAGCACATAAAATATTAACCTATTTTGAAATTTTTCTTATAGAAAAAAATTAGCACACATCATATAGTAAAATTATAACGTTCATACTTCCGTTCATAAAATAAAAAAAAAAAAATGCGGTAGGTGTATTTTATTATCGTTTTAAGTTCCGATTTTGAAGAAAATCATTTATCCAATATGTATCAAAAATGTCAATTTAATTTTTTTACCATAATATGATGTATATATTGTTACAAAGCATCACTATCAACTGAACACGGCTCAGAATCGTTTTTATTAAGTAATGGTTTATTGTTACAGATAAAAATAATTTTTTTCTCTATATCCTACCTTTCCAACTTTTCACCAATCACAGTGGCTGCGTGAATGTGCGATGTATGTCCGCCTTTTTTGTTTTAAAATCATAAATATAACATTGCAAAGATTTTATTTTAAAATTGTAATAAATAAAACGTTATGAGATTAATTTACTTATTTTGACTCGTATAATTACGAGGTAGGTTTAATACAAATATTATAACATTACTATATTTAAATGAACATTGAAATTACTGAGACATGAACGGCAGTATTTCAAACTGGAAATAAATACATTTTTGGTAGATAATTATAACGAGAAAAGTTTGCGAATTTCAAATTTTTTCCTTGACTATTTAGATATAGGTTTTTTAAATTTTTTTACCTAAAGAGTTTCAAAAAAAGATTTGCCGCGATCATCCGAAAATCTAAATCCCGCTCTGTTTGCTCTGAATCGTAATCCGTTGACAACAATTTCTCATTTCGGCTACGATGATATTAATTGTAACGATCACACGCCGTATATATGTACATATAAACTAAATAACTATGCATCCTACGTTCCCAACTTCTCACCGATACAACAGCGGCACACCTATCGGCAGATCGGATCTATTTTACCGTTTTAAATACCTACTGCAACTTGTGCTTTCGATAGTTTATACGCTTTCCGACTTGTGCTCGAAATTTTCTATTTGTCTTGTTATCGATTTATATTTTTCTCTGACAAAAATGAACCTCGCAAAAGTATACGCTGCACGTATATTATTTCAACATTGCGGTTTAAAATGTTAAACGATAATTTATCACTGTGTACAGCGGTAATTCAAAGTGAATCTACTTGAACATCGACACAATGTATAGTCCACGTAACGACATTTTTTAGATTTTGACCGCTGCGAGGTACGTGTAATAGTTTTACGTTTTGTTTATTATGTGCGATTTCTGAATTATCTTTGTACTCATTAGTTTTGACGTAATTTAAGTTTTCCGGTGACTAATATTCCGTGGCAGCACCGCCACAAATCTCAGCTCTAATGTTTCTAATAAAATAATCAAACCCCAAAATATGATTGATACAAAGTATATTTTTTATATAACGTAATAACAAATACTTTTTTTATTTAAAAAAAAAAGGTCGCGTGTCGATCATTTGTGTAGTGTTCGAAAATTAATGTTTTTAAATATAATTTTCGAAGGTTAGGTCTGCCGTTTTTTTTCTACAGTATTTACAAGCGTTTTTTTTTTCATGGATTTTTAGTGCATATAAAATATCCTTCTCCGATTATAAATATTCATATAGTAGCGGTTTGAAATCTCGATCTTGACAGTTCCCGGCATTGCAAAACGCGTTCGACGTTAACGATAAAAAAATTCCAATGTAAAATCATACACTTCTTCGCTCGACTCAGAATCTAAAAAAAACCAATAAATCGTGTTCTATAATTACATACTATTTATGTTGTGACATTTTTCTTTTCGCGACATTTTTAATACGATATTTTGACTGGTTTTCCTAAATTTTACAGCTGGCCATATTGTTATCAAACCATTCCGATGTGAATTGTATTATTTGATAAAAAAAAAAAACCAAATTAAGTATATCGTGCGAAAAATTAAAAAATAATTTATAAGTGTAATATTCAATACCTTATTTATAGTTTATCAACTATGTATGGTTATTAATCATAATAGTATACATAAACTAAAATATCTAAATAATCAATGATGTAAATCCAAAATCAAAATTTTTAAAAAATAGTATATATTTGTATTTCTGTAATTTTAAACTTAAATAAAACATGCTAGCACTAATATTATATTATTAGATGTGTGGTAATGTCAATAATTTAGCTGGTACTGTAGATCTTGGATAAATGCTCTGCGCAAAATAACTCATCAGTAGTAAAAGAAAATTGTTCGCTGAACACATTTATTTTTATTACATCCGATTTCACTGCAATGTTAACGAAAATAGACGCAATTTCCATAGCGTTCAAACAATTGTCGATTAAGATTTCGTTTAAACGATTCAAGTAATCGGTGCCGGTTTTACCAACGAGCTGAGGTTCGGCCCATTCGCGTGTTTCTTTTAGAATTTTGGGGGGAATGTTTTCTTGAATCGATTGGGTCGCACTGTAACCGTTTGTTATAGTGTCGCTTATACATTTAATATTGGAAACCATATTCCCTATGTTTTCTGGAGATTTATACGGGACCGGTAAATCGCGAAGGTATTTATAAAGCTTAGACTTTCCTGTTTCATACCATATGGTAGAGCCATCCAAAATCAGTAGTCTTTGTTTGTCGACCTTATTGTTCATGTGCTTCAGATATAAAACGATCGTGAACGCGTACCGATACACGTAAGTGTTCATTATTGCGTCCAGGTTATCTAAAATTATGTTGTGAAAAGCGAAAACGGTTTCTAACTTTGTGTTCAACGGTAAAAACTGATAGTAAATCTCCGACAATGTAAACGGTATACCGTTTATGTAAATTATGTTTTCTTTAATTTGATTAAATGATGAGTTATCATAATCTTCGGTGAAAAAATATTTTCCACTCAACCAATTGTACATAGGCCACAGACCGATTTCCTGGTATCTGAAGTCGATCAGGGCCGCGTGGATATTCTCAATATATTTATTATGGACATTTGTACACAACACGCTTGTATATTGATCTCTTTTCGAAATGATTTTAGTTATTGTATACAAATTCCACATCAATTTATCTTTTATCGATTCCGTGACACACCTCACCGTATAATTCTTTTCTACGTTACCGTTCGAAAACACACGGGGACAGCGGGAATCGATAAAATCCATAAGGTTTCCACAAAACGACAGGTACAGACTAGACAATGACCCGATATTGACACGACGTTCGGCCAAATATAGAAGAATTTTCGGAGTATAATCGCATAACCCTTTAAATACATGTAAAACGTCATTGTTAATTCGTTTCTCGTTTACACGAGTTAATACGTTTTTGCCGTATTTGGCTTGGAATTCGTCGACTTTATCTTTAAATTGTTTTTCCAGTCTTCGGAACGTGTATAATAATAATTTACTTACCACGGTAGGCGTTGAAAGATCCTTTACATCCTCTTCGGATAGGTCTAAGACTAGATCACAGGTGTTCAACATCAGCTCGTTAATGTATTCGGTATTAATACGCAAGAAATTGTTAACAATGTCCTTTAGCAATTGATCATCGATTTCGCTTATTGCTTTTGGATCCGCTGTCTGTATGATAGCATTGTGAAACCTCTTATTCACGTCTTTAAATATATTGAACTCGACATGCGCATAGTCAATTATCAATGTCCTATCGATTTTGCTTATGTGTTCGTACGCACTTTTAATAAACATTTTGTCAATTTCATGGTAATTTGACTCCTTAGGAAAGTCGTCGCGATTCAAATACGATAAGATGTTCGAATATATTTCCTGCACTTTTCTGGTTGTACATATCATGTAACCTGAGTCGGTGGCGGTACAGTTTTTTTTTACGAAATTAAGCATCCTGTAACAAAGCGTGCAATGAAATTTGTTTAAATAGAAATATTCAATGTTTTTAGGGATGTGGCTTATGTACAAATAGTCCAAAATTCGAGGTATATATGAGCACACGATGTCTAAATACTCGGTTTTGAATTGTACCCTATGGTTATCGTTTTCGTTCCGAGACAAAACGAAACTGATTAAGATTATGTCGGCGAATATCGAGGTGTAGGAATTATACAACAGTTGCACAATACGGTTTAAAATGTGTTGGAACGTTTCTAACGCGTCCATCGGTTTCAGCAAGACATTAGTCATTTTATCGATGCTACCGACATTGTCTATATTGTTATTTGATGTTTCCGTATGTTCGTAATGCATACTTATGGCGATTTCCAGATCTACTTCCGATTGCGATTTAATGCGGCGCGGAGGCGATAATTTCATGCCGAATAGCGCTGTTTCCGGTCGACGTAAGGTCATCATTCTCATATTTTTCGCATTATCCGTCATCGTGCGTCGTATCGCTGACATCGAGGCCAATCGCAGCGCTCGCCGATTGTTTATGCACGCCGATTCCCGGATGAAAATTACCAGTATTTGTACCAAAACTATGATAATAATACGCGTGCGATACAATACCATCTTGGTAGTTGTAATTATTTGATTACTTTTAAAAACCTAAATTTTTTAACGAAGTATAATATATCGTAAGCGTACACTTATAATAACAGAAACTTTAAATAGCAACTGCGTGTTGGTCTATTTATTGTTTTTTTATTTTGATTCGGAGACACATTTCGAACAACTGACTAAATAAAATGAATCATTTCAACGATAATAACGTGCGTACTATAATGCTATACAGGGTACACACCGTGGAATTCTACATACATTCTTAGTCACTTATTATGTTTTTGTTGATTCTCAGCGCAGCAGTGAATAATTTATTGTCCACGTGCTATTCTTTATTCAAACGACTTTTGACCAGAAACCTTCGGAGTTTTATTCCGTATGAGAATTTCGTTTTTTTTTTTTTTATGTTCGGTTGTCTGTGCGTATTCTCGATATTCGGGAAAAAAACCTGTAAGAAAATCGGAAAAATTACGTTCTCATGTTATTGGATATTTGTTGTTGCGTAGATTCGGTGCGAAATAATCGTGTATTTTTCCACAGAATACTAATTATATTAACATTTTGTAGGCGTGGTAAAATTTTCTAAACTTTCTTGAAATTTTTGAGCATTATGTATGCACGATTCCTTTTTGAGTTTGAGTTTGGTTTTTATTTTGATATTTTGTGGATGTATTGTTCGGCAACGGTTACAAAGCTAACACGTCTGTTATAGGTT